CTGGAAACTTTTTTTGAAAATTCTGTTATTACAAATTAATTAAAAAATGCAGCAAGTAATAGCAAAATCTTTGCATTATATTGCCAATTTTTTTTTTCATTAATACTTTTATTACTATCGCAAAGTTTTTATTCTTTATTACATTGCATGATTTTAGATATGAATGTATTATTTACTTATGCAAGCACTTGTCACATTCTATACTTTAATTCATATTATAATAATTCTAATTACAATTATTGTTAACTGTGCCAAAAAAAAAGGTATCTTTTGTTTTTAGCTCAAATAAATAATCATTAATTAGTGGACAATCATTTTATAACATGCAATTGTGTTTAGAAAATAACTAAGTCTTATAATTAATTTAGAAAATGTATTTAATTAATCATATAAGCTAGCTAAAATAATCTTTATTATAATTAATCTAAAAATGGAATAACTTTTGTGATTAATTAAGTTAAATTTTATATTTTCATTTTTCAAGTTGGCGTAAATATGACCATAATTAATTCATAAATTGTTGAGCACTATAAATTGGCTATGAATAAAAGCTGACAAATTATATTAATTAATATATATTAAAATGCATAACAATTAATGTAGAAATGAGTTTTTTCGCTTCAGTTTACGATATTTTTAAGAAATGTCAGTGGAATCAACTCAACCATCAATGACAGAGAATTCAATAATTGATGATAATGACAGAACAGGTGAAACAGCCATTGAAATGCCTTCATGTTCAGAGGTTTGTTTTGAAGTAAACTTATTCATTGCAAACTTTGCTAAATGATTCTCTGATAGTATTTAAAATAATAAACTTAATGTCTGCAATTCAATTTAATTCTATCAATTTTTATATTAAAGGAAAGTAAGAATATGGTTCAAAAGCCCGTACAAGAGGAACAACAAGCATGTACTGCGCATCATTCTAGTGAAGATAAACAATTTGAGAAAAATAAACTTTCAAATTCACAATTAATAAGAAATGAAGGCAAAGTTGAAGGAATAAATGATTCGTTAAGAAAAAGTCAAAGGTCAGAGGGGAATAAAGAAATGTCGCAAGCAAATAAAACATGTATAGAAATCGAAGGAATGATTCCCGAAAAAGATTATAAAGCACAGAATACGAAGAAAAAAGAATTAGCTAATGCGCAAGCAATAAATAGTGAAAGTATGCAAAAACGTGGTAAGCAAAATCAAATTTTACAGATTTGATGTAAATAATTAAAAAGTGGGAATAATTGTGTGTTAATTATTTGGATTGCAATTTCTAACTTGCTTGAATTAATCATTTTAAACATAAAAAGTAAGTGGTAATGATTTTGTTCTTGACAGATTTGTTGAACTTGGACAAGCCTGACCAGATGCATGTGGACAAAGTATTCAAGGATCAAGAAATGGAGCACCCAGAACTTGCACCTGCCGTCAACTAAATATCTTTCGAATTCTTGATTTTAAGGTACATACTTTAACCAAATATTATCGCTTTGATTATTCGCAATTTCAAATTTAGATGAAATCTGAGTTTGACCGTAAAAAATTTCCATAATCTCAACTTCAATAACTTAAAAACATCAACTTTAGCAGTTAATAGGAATTAATTTTGTCATTTGAAGTGTGCCATTTAGACGAAAATAGCATTTACAACAAAGTGTAGTAAATCCAATTTCGTATTACTGTTAAAGTTACTTAAAAAGTAATAGATTTTAACTTAGAAAGTCTTTTACAGAAGCATACAATTTTACCTGTCAAGTAATGTTTTGACTAAATTATATTATCAACCATTATTAGCAAAAATAATTTTTAAAAGGAGACAAATTATTTTCGGAAATTAAAAATTTATTCTGATGATTTCAGAAAATGAAAGAACAATTTGCATATTCAAATCATCAAATCTTATTTCCGAAATTAATACAATTTGAGCGCAACACAGAAACGTGGATAAAAGTATTATATTAAGGTATATACTCGAATTTAAGCATATATTCCAAATCTCTTATAATCACAGAATATGAAAGTTATTGCAAATGAAATTATGCAATTTTCCACTCAGCACAAAACCAAAAGTTCGTGAAGAAAACAATAATTTAGTACATTACAATAAGTAAACAGTAAATGCAATCGAAAATTACCACTGCACTATAAAAAAGAGATGGGTAGTGTCAAAATCCTTAAAATATCGCAAAGGACATGAAATTAAGCGAATTCTTTTAGAGTGTTCGAAATGATTCTTATTGATTCCCTCAGTTCGGATTCTGTGATAACTAAAGGAGGAGCAAATCTGATAATATTGCCATGTGTGTTCTTTGCCAATAAACCGTTTTCTTTTAACTTCAAACATATTTTCCAAGCATCAATTCCTGAAAGTGCCATCACAAATAATAGGAAAATTATTTTGAATAGACAAGCGTGATGAAAAAGCAGACGCAGTACCAGCAAATTCAAAGAGCTCTTTCACACTCCATCCGCTTAAGCTAATTATACGTGCCACTCCATAACCTCACTACTTTCTTGGTTTTAATTTAACAAATTACTTACCAGGCTTTGTTACAACTGCACAAAATAGTCCTTTTCCACGCACTAAGGTTATTACTGATTCAGGCAACTTTCGCAGTTCACCCAAAAAAATTTCCCCTAATTTACGGGAATTTTCAGACAATTTTTCTTCTATGAGGACCTGAAACAACTCTACACTGTCTCCGTAATTTACATAAAACACTTTAGGAACTACATGACTGGAATTAAAGACAACATGCATATTGGACATAAAGACTAACGTACATGCAATGCCTCTACTGCTATTCGACAAGCCAAAGGATTACCACCATAAGTTGATCCATGCTGGCCTGGTTTTATGTTCAGCATTATATAATCATCGCATAGTACAGCCGAAATCTTTAAGAAACAAACATCACAGCATGTTGAAATGTTATATTAAATAGCAATAATTTAAGAACATATCGTAAAACATACAGGATATGTACCACCGGATAATGCTTTGCCAAGTGTAATTATATCAGGTCTCACATTTTCGTGATGCACGCACAACAATCTGCAAAGGACCTAACATAAGTTTTAAGCGAAAGTCTTAAGATTATACGGAAAGATTTTTAATATAGCATTAGTGCTGCAATATTAGGGCCTTATTTCGATGCAAAATACCAAAATATAATAATAGCAAACATACTTTCCTGTTCTTCCCAAGCCAGTTTGAACTTCATCAGCTATAAATAGTACATTATACTTTGTACAGAGCTCTCTAACACCTTTAAGATACCCTTCATTTGGTATCACAACACCTGCTTCACCTTGTATAGGTTCTACCATGAATCCTGCAGTATTCGGATCTTTTATGGCTTCCTGAAATGTCAGAAAAATTAATATAACTTTTGCAGTATTACTTAATTAATTATTACAGCCCTCCGAAGACTTTTGGAAAATTTAACAGAAATTATCTAAATTTAAACTCATCACTTCTTACTTTTGACAGATCCCAAAATATTCTGACTTTTCTGAGCTTTAAAACTTCCAAGCTAAAAGTCTAGATACAAAGAAGTACTATTAGAGAGTTTAAAGAAAGAAAAAAAATACTTCTAGAGCTGCTAAATTATTATAAGGAACAATTTCAAATCCTGGAACAAATGGCCCAAAACCACCATAACTTTCAGGATCTGTTGAGGCAGAAATTGCTGCAATACTGCGCCCCCAAAAATTGTTTTCTGCAAATACCATTTTTGCTTTATTTTCCGGAACTTTTTTTACGTCATATGCCCAACGTCTTGCTAATTTAACGGCCGAATCACACGCTTCAACACCTGTAAATTATAACTGGATTATACTAACAAACTATTCATCGCTAAAACAACCTCTTGATATCACTTTCCCAGAAGATTTAAAATATTTCAAGAGGAACCAGTTCTTAATCTTGTATCAACTATCATATCAACCAGCAGCCAAAGCCTCTAAGTAATGAATGTCTGTTCGACTTCATAAATAAAAAAATAGGAACTGGAACTTCTTGAAATATTTATTATAAAAATTCATCAATTCTATTTCCACTCCAACAACATGAAACCTAATCTAAATAAAAAACCAGAACCGAATTCAAAAAATACCAGTATTCATAGGCAACACTTTATCATATCCGAAGAGTTTAGCGAGAAATTTTTCATAGTCCCCCAACTGGTTGTTGTAGAAAGCACGAGAAGTTAAAGTTAGAACATCAACTTGCTCTTTTATTACCTGGAATTAATACAACTTTCTGTTCAATTTAAATAGCCATAAACTTTGGTAATTCAAGCCTCGTAATTATTTCATGTCATTTAAAAGACGAAATTGGTACAAGAAAACATTTCAGAAACCTTTGTAATTCGTGGATGACAGTGACCTTGATTGACAGCAGAATACGAAGATAAGAAATCATAGTAGCACTTTCCTTCTACATCCCAAACTTTTGAACCTGAAATCTTCATAAACTGATATTTCTAGCTAAATACTTGAATGAAACCATCCACAAGACATCATCACATAATACTAGTTGTTCCAAGTAATCCTTCTATACAGTATGAATATGTTAAAGTCGGACCACTTTAGCTACTTTAAGATAAATTTGCATACAAAGTAGTGCAGGTATTTTTAGCGAGAATTATATATTACTTGATACGCCTGTGTAAAAAATTATTTCTAAAAGAAATATGCAACTTCCGGATTTCAAGATTTTCATCCAAAATTGCAACTGATAAGATCCCTTTAATTTTAAGCAATTATTCAAATATTTCATGACTTCTTGTATTTCACGATTCTTAACAACCCTGATCGCATTTGAGGGATAGAATCTTTTTCAGTTTGATCATACGCAAGTCAGTTTTGATCATATACTAATCAATTCTTTTTATACATCTCCTAATTATACGGTCGTATATTATTTAAACTTATTGTATTTTTTTCGATTAGGTCACGATGTTGCCTTGTTTAATTCTCATTCTTGCTAACCTATGAATTCTTAAATGTGAAGTACTCTAGGTTCAGCGTGCATTATTCCATACATTACAGCTCAAATCATTTTCATTAATTCTTTTAAAATGAATTTTTGGTTTTTAAAAAAACACTCATAATATGGAAGAATTTAATAAAACAAAAAATGAAAGGTCACGAAAAATCTAAAAGTGTCACCGGCAATATCTGCAAATTTTTCATTTTAGCACACTATGAAAATTTCAAATCAAAGAAATGAAACTTTTTATAAAAATGTTCAATATTTAACCTTTGCCCTTTGCAATAACAACGGGAATTGGTTTATAATTGTGGCATCCATATTTATTTTCTTTACTGATACATTCTTGCGATGAAACAAAACGAGCAGTACTTAATGACGCTGGAAACTTTGTTGTGGCTGAGCGTAAAACGTGTCTGGTTAAGCGTAAATGCAGCATTATAATCTCAATTTAAAAAAAAAAAGAGTTTAATAATAAATGTTGAAAGTTATTAATAATTAATAACAATCGTCAATATTGGTAACGAAATCTAACAAGAACTGCAATATTATGATTAAGAAACATTGATACGGATAACAAAAATAACGACAACAAATAGCAAACTAAACATTAAAAACCACTAAGACAGAACAGACAATCAACCAGTAAGATGACCGCTAATGTATAGAATGAGAATCTCAAATAATCAAAAGTTAAAATAATGAAAAGCTTAGAAATGATTTCAAATTAGTATTGCGTGTACGTGCGTGTATGTGTTCGATTGTGCACACATATGTGTGTGCGCAATCGCTATATTCTAGTTCTTATTGCATATCTTGCAAGAGAATAAATAGCAAAGTTTAAAATGTGAACAATTAAAAAAACGATTAACTAGCAATAAAACGTGACGATTATGATATCATAACAAGACTGACGCTATCTAATATTAGAATTTTTTAGCACTGATACTCAAGTCCATCAATTAAATTTAATGTAGCTGATAACAGAATTTTGATTATCAATATATGACTAAATTGAATCATTTACTCTACTTCAATCAAATTAGATTTAAATTTAGATCTAAATTTCAAATCAGATTGAGTCGCTCATTTGAATCAAACTATTTCATCGCTAACTTTGAAGATAAGAAAATTAAGACAAGCTGTTTACGTATGTTTAATGCAATACAAATTTGTACTCAAAGAATGTCAGAATCTTAGATGAAAAAACATTCAAATCAAAAGTAAAGATTGCGGATCAGTTCTCACTGAGAGAAAAGATAAAGCAGCTCAACTAGGAACGAAACCGGAAGTATACTCTTCTTGCGATGCAATGGATTTTCGATCACCGCCTGATCAATCCATTTATTCATTGGTTTCTGGTTTCTTCTTTTGTTACATAATCCACCGCTGTAAAGTAAAGTAATGAACTTAAGTTTAAGTAAGCAATTTATTACCAGCCAGAAGTTCCACCCTACATTGCTCTTTAAAGCTCAGTGATAAATGAATATATCGACAAATAGATAGGCCATGTCTTCCCGATCTGTTTCTCATTTTGTCTTCTTATCTACACTAACACCTTACTAGTATCTTTTTTACCCTTTAACCTCTTGTACAGCATATACCTCATCTATCTATTACTATTTAATACTTTTGTACTCTCTGATCTTATACAAGGTATTACTACTTATTCCTGTACCTCACCTACCTACTACTACTAAATGTTTGACCTTTACCTTCCTCATTTTGCCTTCAAAATTCAATTTGCCATGGCTATGATTCTTGAACGCCGAACAAGAAACTGCATCACATTGTAATCAAGACATGTCTCTTTCAGCAAAGTTGCACAAAAAGTATGCAAAACATTGATGCTAGTGCTTCTTTTCTTTCTTTTGTCAAGTAGAAACTTTCATTTCGAGTGCGTCTAACTTTCTGACAACTTCAAGTTGTGATAATACTACCGTTACAATCTTCACAATTTCAAATTTTTTCTCGATAAAGGAAATGAACAAAAAGAATCAATACAATTTGTGCACGTATAATAAGTGGCGTTAAATCTGAGTGTGCTGCAAAATTATTTATCTAAACTAATCAAAAAATGAGCACTTGTTAAGCAAACTTCACTTGTTATGTAATATCTGCTTGTGAACTTTGAACTTTTTCCTTTAAATTGCCGCAAAATAAAAACATATGCAAAGTTCAAAAACTCTGTCATGATCAATATGAAGTAGAAGTAAGACAATATGTGAATAAAACTTATTAGATTGTTTCAAAAAATATTAAAACACAAAAAAATAATTCGTAATTCCTATAACTCGTTATCATCTCAAAAAACTTTTTTGAAGATATATTATTTTTTCATAATAAGACAACAATTTTTAGCAAGCCGTGCATGTTCACATGTAAACAGTGTGCTCATTAAGAGACACAAGTCACAAGGAGTTGTAGGTGAAAGGATTGAACTGGTACTGTCAAAGCACTACAATGGGGCGAACCAGCAGAGTGCTTCCAAAACAGTGAGATTTTGCTTTCACACTGGTTTGACCCTTGACCCATGCTTCACTCAATGTTCAGCTGCTTTCAATTTTTTTTATTCATGCTGCTTCATTTAATTTGATTAGCATATAACGTATATTACTTTGCTTTATGTAACGCGAAGAAATGTTTATATCTTAGTTTTTGTCTACATTTCTAGCAGCAGTTGGTAAATGGACAGACAAATAAATAGCCAAGAAAAAAGTTTACTCTTTTTTGTTTAATAAATTAATAAAATTGTCTACTGTATCTTGGTATATGTTCAGAACTATTGTGCTCAGCATATTATGAGCTGCTACTCTTGCATGAGTGTTTGGGTTTTGCTTGTGCATTAATTTACAGGTTTTGCAGATGAGATTTTGATTTCTTATTTAAGGCGTTAAAGTGAGGTCAAAGAATTATTGCTTGTAATATATCTGTGCTTTTACTGCATGTTGTCTGGTCAAGAAAAGTGTAAAGAACTCACTGGATATGCTTCATGCCTTATTATTTTATAAATTCATGGTGTTGTTCTTTTTCATTACAGTTTATTAAATTCCTGTCTTACATTGATTTATATAAATGTAAAGTTTTTATATAATTGTAATTGACTTGATTTACTATTTCCACCTGTTAATTTTTTTAATAATTCGGGTCGTCTACATATCAGGATTATCTTAAATTCATTTCAGATGGCTACTGTATGGAGCAATTGGATCACCAATTCCCAACACGCGATTTTTAGTTTTCAAAACACCTCTCAGTACAAGATTGTTATCCAAAACAATGAAACACCAATGGTTTACAACTTTACATCTATTACAGCGAGTAAGTTGGTTGCAGGATTATTTAATACGCTATTTTAAGCTGTAAATGTAAACAAACTTATGTTACTTATCCCGTTCCTGTGTTGTAATTAAAATTTGTTATTTGACTGTATTTTTTAATTTTTGCTTAAATAATAGTGAAAGTATCATATGTTTATATTTCTTAATGTTGCAGCTTGGGGAGAACGGATTTCAAATTGGTATTGTCATCGATTTGACGGATACCGACCGTTATTACGATCGCAGAGATATTGAAAAAATGTGCATTGCATATGAAAAAATAAATTGTCCTGGTCGAGGTTTTATCGAGAGGGATGATCTCGTAGATTCTTTTAATGCAGCTGTAGACAATTTTTTGGATTTGAATGCACATAATGGTATTTTTGAATAATTTCGATTTAAAAAAACTATAAATTAAGTTGTCAGTTGCACCTTCTGTCATTTGGGTGTATTGTGTTCCTTCCAGTTTGAAATCAGGCTTTTACTGTCAAACAGATGTAGATTATTTTTCAGACTTGTTAATAGGTGTTCATTGCACAAATGGCGTTAATCGAAGTGGTTACTTGATATGCAGGTTTTTAATTGATCGCCTTGGATGGTCTTCACATGATGCTATTGATGGTATTCGTTTTACAAAAACAAGAATTTTAATACATTGTAGGATTGTTGAAAATTTTCTATTTGTATAATTTTTAGCTTTTGAAAGAGCACGTGGCTATCCAATTGAACGAGGATCGTATGTGCAAGCATTGCATAGAGCTGCAAAGGAAAGACGGTATAAAAAGTAAGCATTTGTACGAAAGCTGCTTTTATCACTTTACTTACATATTCCTCTGCTGCTGAAATTTTTTTCTGCTGTTCATAATTCTCGTGAAATTGCAAGATTAATTTTTTGGATTGTTTTGAAGAAATTAAAAACTTTATAAAGTAGCTCATTATTGAAATAAACATAAGATACCAGCTATCTTAAGAGAAAGAAAAAAGTTTCTCTAACAGTCCATTCTGTTTATTTTTGAGCTTTTCGTAGAAATATATTTTAAGAAGGCATAAGCATATGGAAGATGTAGGTTCAAGTGATGAATCCGAAGTGCAGAAAATGTTGAGAAAGCGAAGCAAGCACAAAAAGAAGAAAAAAAATGACAATGGATCTGGTGATGATAGTATGACTCCTGATATGGAAGCCGTTCTAAATCAAATGGCAATCGCGTTTGAGGTAGTAGTTTGTTCAAAAGAAGTTTCGAAGATCTTAAAGCTCTATTTTGAGAGTATTACTCACTTGTTTAGAAGAAACGTTTTTACGTGAATTGCCAAATTTTGGGAAAATAGATGAATAACAAAGTTTTTTTTTCTTTAGCAGCACCAGTCAACTATGAATTCAATTAATGAAGCCTCCATGAACTTTGGATTGGAAATAACTCCTGATACTTCGGAATTGCACCAGCCAGCACGCACATCACCTCATATTTCTGCTGAAAATAGCCCTTTCATCGGCAGTACTGGTACTGGGGAAGATGATGATGATGATCTCAGTACTGAACAGGTAAAGACTTGATGAAGATAGTTTTCTTATATTATATATATACTCTCAAAATAAGACATATATATATATATATATATAGGACTTTATTTTATGCATTACTTTCCATTTTAAATGATCAACTTCTTTGCAGGACATGCAAACTACTGATAATGCAGAGAATGAAGTATCGAAGTCAAAGAAAAGACGAGAGAGGAGGTTAAGACTACAGAAACAGTTTGATTTGATGAAAACAGGAAATTTTTGGAAGATTAATGAGATGCAAAAAGAAAAATTTGGTACTTCATGATGCAGTTGAGAACTTAATGTCCTCCAAATGTGTTTGAGATTTGATTCAGTACACATTTTACATTGGATTTACTGTAGCTTTAAGTATTATTAAAGGATATTTTAAACGAAAAAGAAATGGATTTTGACCAATTCTTATGTTGTGTGATTAAATATATTTCTACTTTCGATTGCTACTTTGCATACATTTGCTTGTTTGGGATTTTTAAATAAAAGATGACTACTTTCGGATTCGAAAATGCAGGAAGTATTTCTTCTAGTTGGCAGTGTTGCAGTTTATTTTTTTCAAATATTTTTTGATAGTTTTCCAATGTAATTCTTCGCACAAGTAAAACTACTGCGCCGAAGGTTTTTTTATTGGTCTTATCAGGAAAGCTGAAAGGGAGCTAGCAATGAAATATAGTTTTAGCTTGCTTCTTGGATTTTCAGGGTCTCTCGTCACTGCCATGTAGTGCTGTTGCTTTTTCTGCATTTTTTTAAAGTAATGATGGTATGGTTGCAATGTTAAGGAGGTCAAATTTAAGCATTAAAAGTCATGAGTACCTGATTAGGATGCGACAGTTTGATATCAAATTAAACGAAATGTAGTTTCAGTTGGCTATATGTTGGTGAATGTGAATTTAGGTAAAAGAAAGGGAACTTCGTCTAATAACCATTGATGTTATGATGTTTTGCTGTGGGGATGATCCCTCCAATGATTTTGCCATTTTCATTGTCTTTGTGGACGTAGTACTTTATTAACTTCGTCAATCTCATTTTTTCCCATACTGCAGTCTTTCATTCTTATGAATTGAATGTACATTTTTTTGAAGCAAGTTGTGTAAAATGGCAAAATCATCATGGTATTTAACTCTTTGTTTTTTATGGGGACCGTAGTAGAACTCTGACTACAGTACTATATCTACGTAAAGAGATTATTATGATTATTATCTTAAGTGAGGATTCTCATTTGGTCATTTATATTGCTATAACTATCAGCAAACAATTTGATGTAGGAAACAGTACATAGCAATATTAGTCATAATGGAGGCTGTCTAGTTATACATTTCATATTTTATAGAAACTAATAATGAAAATACTGTTGACAGTGTATCTCTATCATAAATAATGCACATAATCTATACGGAGGAAGAAGTTTTCTTTTTACCAATTGATTATCTGGAAGTTAAGTTTCTATTTCTGCAGAAAATGGTTTCAAAATGTTCATCAACTCAATGGATCTCAACTGATTTAATGGGGAAAACGGTTATTAGTCGTCGCTGTCCATTTAAGGTTCCGTAGGTTTTTTCCTTTGTTCAGTGGTTAACTGTGCAGTTATTTGTAGAAGTTCAAAAACGCATATTTCACTATATGAATCTTAATCGCTGTTTTTTATTCGAATTTTTCTAAATTATTAGATCACAGTATACTTCATTTTTTAGGTTCACCAAGCATTGTGGAATCCAAGTATTAATTTGCTGGCTTTAGCTTCACAGAAGGGTGAAATATGCGTACGGCGTTCTCATGGTAAACATGGTTGGAAGGTGGAATTAAATTATCTGCTTCAGTTTGATTCTTTGGATTGCATCAAGATTTTTTTCAAAATTTATTTTAAATGCTATTAATAGTTCTACTTTTTCCTATTTTCAAATGAATATTAAAGTTGAATTATTCGTAATATACTTAATTCTTTAATTTTATTCAGAGAGATGTCTACGATGTAAAGCCTCTTTTATTGGAGCGTGTGAAATCACAAAGTGAAATTTGCTTCGAAACGATGTGTTGGAGTCCTAATGGCAAAGTAAAGTAGAATGTTCATAACTGCACAGAAAGAAGTTTTGTACTGCAGACTTTTGAGCATGATAATGCAAATTTTAGGTCCTAGCTACCGCTTTTAATGACGGTTGTATTCATTTTTTGGACGCAGAAAAAGGAATCGTCAGATTTACTGTAAAGTAAGGAAATAATTCACTGAATTCCATTCTTTTTGTTAACATACTTCGCATTTGTGGATTATAATTTTATTTAGAATGAAAACTGGTGTGAAGCGGATGAGGTGGCAGTATTATGATCCAAATTCTAATGTTCATCTCCTAGATGATGATGTTTTTTCTGCAGTAGTAAGTAGTCATTTATTGTGATTTCAATAAATTATAATTAATTTTTTCGTAGCTAGAAAAATTTGTTGCTTGTAAACGTCGACTTTTTCTGACATTCTGTATTTATATTGTTCGGTTTCTTTTCATTCACTATTAGTTCAGTTTTAAGGAGAAACTTTTTAGTTAACAATTTTCAATTGTGGTTGCAATCAGTTTTTGTCATATGTTGATTTTTACAAAGAATTTATTATATATATAATTATTATAATAATAATTATAACTTATA